TTGAGGGTTCTAACAGTACTAGCATCACACACACCCTTTACAATACATAAGCATGTATATTTATGGTAGGCTAGTGTAACTATATTTGAAATTTCATTTACATTTCATGTTTATGTTGATATTATTTGAATATATATTTTATCATCATGCTGACACTTCTTATATGTCACATTTTATTATGACCGACAATTTTTGAATTATTGTTGCATCTTTTATATTTAATTTGGATCTTGTGCACATGAGCCACCAAATGGATCTTACATCATAATAGATTTTGAAGATTTTGCAATCTCCTTTAACTTCTCTTGTTTGCTTTTGAGATGGTCCATATACTGTTTGAGTATGTCTGAATCTTCTATAATTTTTGCAAAAAAAAAGTCATGAGTGGATCTTGATAATCCATTTTCTTTTATTTTTTTCATCTCTTTCCTTCTTCTTTTGAATCTCCTTGGATATTGAATGTATTTGCCATTGGAGTTTTTGTCCCGTTTGAAGAAATCTTTTAACATTTTCTTGCAAAAAATAGTCCATAGTAAAGCCTGTCCACCATTTGATTTTGTATTGTCTAATCAATGACATTGGGAATGGTTTTGGAAGTTGCTATATAATCTTGTAACTTCAACAAAAAATCCATAGAACTTTGAACTCAAAATGAAATAATATTAGTTTTGTATATTCTTCTCCTGGTGCTTTTCTTTGATATAATTGGAATTCCATTTTTGCTTTGGGGGGAAAACTCTTGAGTTGCAGACCAAAAAAATTCTACCAATGGTAAAATCAAATTGGAAATTTTCGATCACAATTGACATGAAATGTAAAGAACCATGAATGATTGAAGAAACGAAAGAGAGAGGCTCTACACCAGGCCATTCTGTAATCCTGGTATGTGTAGCCATCTAAAATGTGTCTGATTGAAAAGGTTTTCTTTGATTAGAGAGATACCCATTCATCTAGTCAGCACACCTTTTTAATTACACATTTGGAATGAGAAATTTTATTTGGATCTTTTCTGTCTGGAACTGAAGAAATTTCGACGGAATTTGTGTCCAATAAAATCAATTCATAAGATTTGATAGTCTTCGATACACCATTGGCATCCTTCTGGAAATATTCTATTAGTAAGGGCTAATAAGAACTATAGGGTGGAGGTTCTTTGAATTTGGTGAGAGTAATCTGTTGAGTAATTGGTTTAGTGAAGTAAGAGTTTGAATTTTCTGGGATTTTTTCTTCGGTGTTTTTCTTAGAGGATGGTGGTGGAGTTTGAGTGGTTTGAGCATATGATAATGGATGAAAATATGAAAGAACTTGAAATGTATTTGAAGTAGAGATCTAAGTAGTTTTCATCTCATAATCTTTGACTAACAAAACTTTTGAAAAGTTTCCTTTGCTCATTTTTCTACAGGATGTCAACAAATAATGTTATGCATCTCTCGTAATTCTTGTTTTATCCATTTCTTGTAACGGGAAGCCTTTTTTCTGCGTTGAGTAAGGAAATGATGCATTATCTGAAACCTTTGAATATTCCTTCTTTTCAAAAAACATTTGTCTCGAATAGTAGTAATTGCTCTGGAGGATTTAAGAGATATCTAGTCATATTTGAAAATGTGTTATGGTTGGATTCTCTGACTCTCTCCATTTGGCTTTATAATATAATGGATCGTTTTCCGATTTTGATAAAGGATTTCTTTTTGCGCATTGGCTCAGGAATAATATTGTCTTCTAATATGCTTTATAGAATCATTTTGTTTATCCATGACTCTGTAGAAATTCTCTAGTTAAAAAATTAGGTAAAGAATTATCTTCCCCTTTTATGAATTCTGTTTCGAAATAAAAAACTGATTATATACCTTGCCACTGAGTAAATATTTGTTTTGAAACTATATTTTCAACATCTTTTTGTAAACTTCTTTTGCTGATTTACAATCAATTCTCAGAAGGAACTTTTTATTATATAAATCATCTTGAAATTTTGAAATGCAAAGAAACTATAGACAAAATTTCCTTTTTAATAGTGGAGTAATTCTTTTGAGGATCATACTATGCTTCTGAATGATATCTAACTAGTTGCTCTGATTGATTTTCTAATTTTTACTTTAGTATTCCTCCATATCCTAAGTTAGATGCGCCTGTTGCTACTATCATAAATGTATGAGGGTAAGGAATACCTAGGCATGATAATGACTTAAGTTTTTCTTTAAAATAATTAATCATTTTAGTATGTTCATCCGTCCATGCTATGGATTCGTTTTGAGTCTCATAAATAATATTGAAGAGTTTTTTCTTAAAATTGTAAAGAAATATGCTATATAATCAAACATTCTAGAAATCTTTGTAATTGATAATTTCTTGTTCATCTCTTTGTAATTGATAATCTTTGTAATTGATAATTTCTCGAGTTTTCTGGACTTGACAGCAGGTCCTGATCATGCTACACCAATTTAATTCATAACATGCTGGAAAATTGCCCATTCAACTACTTTTCGCTCCACTTATCTACAATTAACATCAATTATCAAATATAAGTAAAATCTACCTAATAATGCAATATTTGGCAAATATCAAAGGAAAATATTCACAAATTTAATAACAATTATGCATCCTATCATCCACTTTTTTGCTTGATCGAGTTTCTATAATGTACTCTTGCTTCAAGAACAGTATCTTTTGGCCTGCATAAAACTACCCATTTGGCAAATGAATTTTTTGGATATTTGTCTAAAATTTTACTGTAATTTACTATAGAAGCTATAGGAAAAATTTTTCAAATGGAAAGCTTTTTTTTTTTTTCTTTTTTCTTTCTTTTTTTTTTCTTTTCTCTCTTCTTCTTCTCCCTTCCCCTCCCTCCCAGCTGGAACAAGCAGTAGCAGAAACCCTTTTTTTTTTTTGTATTTTTTCTCTCCTCTCTCCTCCCCTTCCCTCCCCTCCCCCTCTACCTAATCCGGTCATGCGACCAGGTCGGCCAGAGAGGGAGAGGGAAAGGGACGATGGCGGGGAAGGGCGAGGGGGAAAGAGAGGTTGTGAGGGAGAGGGGAAGAGAGGGAAGAAGGAGAGGGAGGGAGGAGGAGAAGGAGAGGGAGAAGAGAAAGGAACAAAAAAAAGGAGGTGGGCGGCATGGGAACTGGTGCTGTTAGAGGTAGCCGGTGGTAGAGGTGGTGGTGGGTTGAGGTGGAAGAAGAAAGGATAAAGGGAAATTGTTTTGCGTGTTTTGGGTATTTTAAAGTGTATAATTTATAAATTTTGAAAAGTTTTTTATTTTACTATAGTTAAAATTATTAAAAAAAATTTGTAGAAGACAAACTTGGTCAAAAACTCTTTTGCCAAACAAACCCTATACCCGATCCAGACTTGACCCCTTATAGCCTTGACATCCCGATCTAGACTTGAACCCCTATGGCCCTCAAATCCATGCTTGGTAGGAATTTTTTATTTGATATTTTATTAAGTTGTGTATACTTGTATTAATGCCAAAAGTTTCGGTAGGTATTGATCCTATTTTTAAAAAATAAATTATTAACTTTCATTAAATTTTTTACCTTTTGGATTTTTTTATTTTCTAAAAAATAATATTATTAATTTTTGAGTTTGAACAATATATCTTTTTCTATCTCTTAAAAAATAATATATTGTTATTTTCTGAAAAATAATTATATAATTATTAAACAAATATGTGATACGTTAAATGTGAAAATATCTTTTTTTTTAAACTTACTTTATTAATTCAATACGAAACAACCGATTACAAGATTTGCCAAAAAAACTCCCGACAAACGGTGACAAATAATTCTTTATGTAATTAATTGAACTCCATAACATAATATTACATAATTTAAATCAAATAAAATACAAATAATAACATAATGAATACTAATTTTCATTGTTATTGCCTTTGAACCGTTCACAAAATATTGAAATTTTAGAAAATTGTACAAAGAGATTGAAGAAAATGAGTGAGAGAGAGAGAGAGAGAGGGAGAAATAATAGAGTAAGATAGTGAGATATATAAAAAAAAAAAGGTGTCTTATGTGTTTATATAGAGAGAACCAAAAAATGACCGTTGAAAAAAAAAAATTGAACGTTGACTTTCATCATGAATTTTAGCCATTGTCCACGTTTAACCAAATTTATCTGTTGTTAAAAAAGAATCCACTATCTCCTTTTTTCAATAGCATTTATACGTATCATTCTTATGATGCGTGTAATGAATATTACACGGCCATGCCACTGGAGTTGCTTTAATGAGTTTGGTATAATAGTGATTAACTAATTTTTAGTAGGGAATCAATGTTTACTCACCCATATTACTCATATTTTTTTAATTAAAAATAAAGCAAGTTACAAAATACTAGAAGAAATTAATAAATTAAAGAAAATTTAGAAGAAAAAGAAGTAGAAAAAAAATGTAAAAACTAATGCCTAAAATTTCGTTACCAAACACTCATGGTTTTCAACAAAAACCCATTATCATTAAACAGTTAATGATAGCGATAGTCATTGATGAACTTCTACAAACGACTCCTCAGATCTCATCCAAAAACACAAAAAAGGTTAAAAAAACTAGAAATGTTAATAACGGGAAAAAACTTGAAGAGTTTTGGAGAATATGAAAACTAACTATTGGCAACAAACCGTAGAAGATCAGACAGAAGTAATTGAAAAAGCTAAGAAGACGGCAGCTTAAACATATTATTTAAATCTTTTTCGTCAAGAACTCCTGCATGTGGAACAAAATCAGCATTCAGCACCAACCAGAAGATGCCTTTACCCACAACAATTATCATATTACAGACCACGCGCTGTAAGGTTGTATAAAGAGCATGTTTCAATGCAGCGGACCATTTAAAAGATGGCAGAAATTCATCTATCCTGTACTAGTGGTAAAAACATCTCTAAAATCAACTTTTAGAATGGTGCACAAGACCAAGACGCTAGGGATTTATGGAATAAACAACAAGATCACACAATGCCATATGCAGCATGTAGTAATCTAAGGCTAACCGTTGTTGCACAACAGATTCTGGAAGTGTTTCATACCAAGCATTTTTAACGTAAAAATATATACAAAGCTCTGTAATACAATTTGTTTACGTCGATCCTAATCTTACTGAAGAAGCAAATAGGAAATCTACTTGCCACGAGCGTACATTCAGAGCTAATCAAATGTCCTTGCAGACCAACTAAATCCATTATCCTAACCTCAAATAACAGGAATCCTATAAATAATCAAATGTCCTTGCAGACCAACTAAATCCATTATCCTAACCTCAAATAACAGGAATCCTATAAAAGCAACCTAGTGGTGAATGCTAAAACATACAGAGTTTCAAACTGCAGCATGATACCCTTCAATTGTATGCTTCATTTCGTCTAACTGTGCAATGACATGTTCCAGTTTCTTGCAACAGATCTCGTTAGATATTCTTGGAACGTAGTCACACTTCTCAAAAGGACGATACTCACAGGCACTTTTGATTTCTTCTCGCAGTGTCACTTGGATGTCCTGTTTAGAAAGATGAGATGCAAAATGCCATCTGCTTAGCCCACGATTGCCGTTACTATCATAACATATGAAGCCTATACCAATGCTATTGAGCAGGGACAAGTGGATAAAATGCCAACTACCAAGATAAAAAAGGATCCACACATCTTAATAATGGATATGCAGAACTACAATCTTTTTTTTTTTAAGGGCTTATAAGAACAATTTTACTTTTTCTTCAATATGCCAGAGGTATTATTTGTCAAACCCTACATCTTCTTGCTTGTAATTTTGTCTTTCCAAATGACAACACAAACAAAAGAAGATATGAAGCAACAGAACAAAATCTCATGTTTCTTCTGGTTGCAGAGAAATGCAGGAATTGTTAACAATCTGAATCTCAAACAAGAAGATTTCCATCCTTCTAACCAGCATTTCCAAAACAAATCCCAAAGAAACAACAAAAGCTAACAATATGACAAAAAGCATAGCCTTTCCTTAGACAACAAAACCATGAGCAATTGACTTATTGCAATAAATTGCAATGACTTGATCACTTACAAAAACAAAAAATTGTAATTCCATCCTCATGGTTTGGTCATTAGAGCGAAATAAAACTCAAGAAAACAAAGATGTAAACATAGATATACCTTCCAGAGTGTTAACCTTGAACCCATGGTAAAATTTGCAGGTGGTAGTCTAGTCCCCACATGAACTCTGAACTCTTGGTTACATAAATTTCAGAAATATATTCAACTCTAATTCAAAAATTTCTAACCATTTTTTTTCTTTTCGCTTTGTTGACAGGGAAAGAAACTGATTCAGTTCTAACTCAAGTATTTCAGCACTCTGTGGCCATAAATTGAAACTACCACCATTACCTTCTAAGATGACGTAGGTGTTTACAACAAGCTAAAACCTTTCACAGAACCCCAGAGCAACCCTACTTGTAACTTTTAGACCTTACCAGCTTAAGGAAAAAAGCATACTGCTGGTAATAACTAATAAGAATTACCACATTCCCTTGCCACCACGACTAGTCAACCACAATAGCATTTGACCATCTCTACAGGGACTTGGGATTAATGCTTCACAATATTGACACAGTAATTAGATTTGCAAAGCAAGCAAATTGTACTACAAGGTACTTCTACATTGTCAAAGATACTGCTTTGTTTTGCTTTTATGACAAACAGCACACATTTTATAAATGAAAATCTTTATGCAATTGGATGAAAAGTTCTCAGTTCACTCTGTTTGGAAGTTAACTCTTCCCCTTCATATAAACATCCTAAAGATATCCCCTTCTCACAAATCATGTGTACATAAAAGCCTATTTCGTGACAGCAATATGCGCATATCGTAGTGAAATTGATCAGGAAGAAGATCATGACCTTGATCAATTGCATAAATTCACTGCAGTGACTATTAACAAGCTCCTTTCTTGGACCGCTAGGGTTTGCCAGTTCGTCCATTACGCTGCCAGCTAACTCCAATACCCTAACTATTCTCTGTGAAGCCAAAAATCAACAACATAGCCATAGAAATGTTAAAAGATTAGGTGTTTGAGGAATAAATTCTCTAATTTATTGATTACCTTTTCAACATTTTGAAGCCGTTGCAATGATGTGTTTTGGCTCTGTGGATCCATGGCGTACGTCGTCTGCATCAAATCCACTCAACTAGTCGAAGTAAGACGTTAATGGAGTTAGGATTCAAGAAAGGCAATGATTTTACAAAATTTAAAGTGCAAGCAATTAGGTTTCTTTAAACCCATCAATTTCTGATCGAGCAAACCTTATGTAGGTACAAGGACATAAAATGAGTCACTTATTGAGCAAATGGCAAAATATGTCACTCAACCTTTTAAGATTGCACCATTCGATCACTAAACTGTTTTTAAGCCAAAATGGTTACCAAACTCATAAAATTGTATCTTTTTTGGTCATTTCGGGTGTTAAGATAGCCAAAAATGCATTCACACGAGTAGTATTAGATTTTTAAGGGCAAAAATATCTCACAAACTTAGGCACACACTGAAAAAAGATTAAGGACCCTTTTAATTTCCAAACTTTAGTAATTTTTTCCAGATTATGATAATAATTTTTAACAGTGCTTAGAAATTTTAGTCAATATTTGGAGAGAATTAGTAAAGCCTATGACCTTCCATTGCCATTTTTTAACCTGTGTTAGTGGAACAGAAATTTCGAAATGAAGTTAATGCCAAGCCAGATTTGAAGCTGAAGTTCGAACGGAGAATTGTTATACTTTTGCTGCTTAACAGCCAATGGAAAGTGTAAGGAACACCAATTACTTCCATAAAAGCAGAAAATTTTGGAAGAAGTAAAACATGAAACCAAAAAATACTATCTCATTCGAATGCTCAAAACAATCTTTTCTCACCAATCAGCTTGATTGCAGTAATCTTCAGGTCAATGCTTTCAGATTTAGCTTGAAATTCATGAAGGTGCATCTGTCTGCACAGATTAAGGCTCCAGTGCCCAATGGACGGGCAGAACATGAAGGGCGGAGGAGTCTCGGATCCTTAATTCAGTCACTTCAACTCTATCCTTTCACAAATACAAGAATCCAATCATGAATAACCGACGGAATACAATAAATATATAAGCAGGAACAACCAAGTTAGGAGTCTAGTAGCCAATATACCAGAACCGTTTTTAACAGATAACTGAGTAGTCTATGATTAATGAATATGGGCCGGATAAAGCTCACTCATTTTTTGTTGGTTGAACATTGGTTCAAATAGTCCAGATGTCATGTGGACGGATGGCGGATATGTAAACAGCTTCGAATTGTATAACCTACTTTTCTTATTTTGGACATATTATTTACACTTTGTTTTCGGCTAATAAACATATTTTAATTTTGACAAATACATCTATACATCCAAACATTTATTTTCAAACTACCAATCTTCGTCTCTGGTTCAGGTGAAAAAATGAAACAGTTTGATATTTTTGGGCAAGTATTTATAAGAACATCCAAACAGACCCACAAAGTAGCTGAAAAGAGGCAAGAGGCCATGGAAGTAGGAAAATATTGGGCACCAATTTCTCTTAGATATCAAGCACAATGTTCTAAATATAGCCGAGACAAAGATTGCTAGTCGAATATATTTGTTGCTATTGTCTTTTTTCAGTTCACATTCACCATAAGGGCTTCCTTCTGGGGATTCCAGAGGCTAATTCACAATATGAGATGTGGATTTTGTAGAAATCCAAAAATAGATGTTCGGAAAACTTGGAAAAATCATATCTTAAACTGGAGATCTGAGACGGCCACCTTAGATTTGACTAAAATTAGAGATTTTGTTACCCAAGAATAAAGAATTTTAACGCTAAATGCTTGAAATGAGCCCAAATTCATGGTAGAAAAATAACCCACTTAATAGCAGTATATTACCCTATACCTGAAATTTCTAACCCTAATTTGTAAATAAATTCTCAACAAAGAAACTAAAGCAAGAAATGGAAAAATTGAGCAAGAAAAGCAAATAATTTTCAAATATCAAAGATAGTCTAACCGTTTGGCTGCCATTACAACCATTACAATCTCCTCTTCCTCTGGTTTCAAATACCCCAATTCCATTAAGCCTTATGAAAATTATTGCGATCTCTTCACAACTTGATGTACGCATCTGAGAGTTAATGTTAGAGAGAGAGGGAGGGTGCAGTAAGGGAGCGAAGAACGGACATGAGGCCAGTATAGAATAGAGAACCGACATTAGGTCAGTGATGGAGTCACGGACATGAAGTTTTCTCTTGAAATTCCCATAACAATTTACCAAAATTCACCCAAAAAAGGAAATAAGGGCATTTTTTCACCTAACAACAATCTTCACCTTCTAACTTATCTACTTTCTTAATTAAACCCCCAATCACCATTTCCTAATTCCCTCCCAACCCAGCACCACTTAACCCACTATTTTCCTCACTTGCAACCACTCACCGTCACACTGCACCATAATCACTCTTACCTCTCTTCCACTCCGACCACCACAGCCAATTAAGCCTTCACTTCGCCCCGCACCCAACGCCAAAACCGTACCCACTCTCGAACCCCTCAAAATTTACCCACAACTAAAATAAGGATGACATGATTTTACCCATAACTCAAACAATATCCAAAAATATTGGACAGAAATTTTTGACAAAAATAATTAGTGCAAATAGAAGGGAAAAATTAGGGAAAGAAAAAGAAGAGACATGACAGCCCTACCCTTTGCGAAGAGTTGGTAGAGAACACCTTTGTTTAGCGTCGCAAAAAGGACATGATCGATCAAAAGTAAAAGGATGAGATGCTTTTTTGGTTAATCGTTTGTATTGAGGTTGAGAGTGTGAACTGAGAGAGTGAGAGACGACGGGAGAGAGGCTTTTCTATATGGTTCAGAAAGATTTTCTATGGAATCGTCGGGATTCAACTAACCAAATGGTTGCACAACACTCCACATTTTTTATTTATTCAATTTGAGTGAAATTTTGGCTCACTAATTTCCCTTTGTTTGGGAAAAAAAAAATTCCCTTTGTTGAAGCAAAATAAAATTTTCAATCTAAGTGTTTTAGTTTTAATTTTTAGTTGTTTCTAATTTTTTTGTCAAAAATTTGTTTCTAATAATTTGACCAATGGCATGGTTTTAGTTATAATATTCCTTGCAAATTGCTTTTAGTGCCCTTTCTTATATCAAGTCACAATTTGTGACCTTTGAAAGTCTGAACTTCTTTACTCCGACGATTCTCCCTAAGTGAGAGCTTATCTCTTTAAATGAGAGCCTCTTCTCGGTGTGGGAGGGAAAAATCCAAGGACATACTTTTTCAAATTTCAAGCATGAGTTTCAACCACCATCCTTCGAGCCAATTTTCAAACTCTTCAAACATTCATAGATATCTTCCAAACTCCCAAATCCAGATCCAACCAGCACTCACTTAATTGTATCTGTTGATAAATACTTTGAATAGCTAGTATACTTTTTGTGGAAGCATTTATTAGCCAATTGTCATGAATCCTACCTTCAAACAGCAAATTTCTTAGCTCAAAACACCGACCTCAACCTAGTTACAGCTCTGTGTTTATGAGCTTCTTTCTAGTACTCTCATTTTTTGATTTTTTTTCTTCATTTCCATTTGGTTCTCTTTCATCTTCTGATATCTTGTCTTTGATCTCTCTTGTAATTAGTAAGTACTCATTGAAAATCTGTTTGGTTTACCCTCTCATCTACAGGTTAAACCAAGGTATCAAGTCCATTGTGGAATTGTACGGAGAACTCATAGTAAGTTCACAATGGCTGAAAAATAATAGCAGCTTCGCAAAGATTCGATCAGTCAGAGGGTAAAAAAGGAAGGAGAAGATCTAAGTTGGATGACATTGAACAAGGGATTGATGAGTGCAGACTAAGTTTGATTGACAAGATAATAGGGAAGAAATGGCAAACTTTATAGGAGTAAAGAACTTTACTTCACATGTGTGGATATATCCAAGGCACCTAAGGATAACAGAGCTAAGAGCAAATCTGTATCAATTTCATTTTGAAAATGAATAGATCAAGAGAAAGCTCTCTTTGGGAGCCCATGGATCATAGATAACCAGATTTTGTTATCAAGAAGTTGGGAAGCAAGAATGGAAAATAACCCAACAGCTTTTAACATGGTATCTTTGTGATACAAGTTTGGAACCTATCAATTCACTGGTTATGCAAAGCGATGGGTTTCAAGTTGGGTGAAGTTTTTGACTCGGTGAAAGAAGTTATAACCCTAGTGGGAGAAGGAAAGAAAGGAAGACATATGAAGATTTTTGTAGAGCTAGAAGTCTCCAAACCTTTAGCCAGGGGAACAAAAGTTAAATTGAACGGAACATGACATTGGGCTGAGTTTAAATATGAGAAGTGCCCAGACTTCTGTTATAGATACGCGAAGAATTGGTAATGGGGACAAAATGTGCAAGGATGATAGTGTGGGTGAAAGTAACGAAAGAGATGAGCAATTTGGAGCATCGATGAAGGCTGGAAATATTATGGCATCACCACTACGATCTATAAGTGGGCTCCGGTACAACAATAACAGTAAGGGGGACAAGAAAATGGAGGATGGAAAAGTCACTAACCCCTTAATGAACATTCAAACTAGGAAAGTACATATAAGAAATTGGGATCTACAAACCTCTCTGATGATATAAATGGTAGGGGAGAGATAAGAAGGAAAGGAACCAACAAGAGGAACCATCAAAGAATGTGAAAGACAAACAATCTAGAAAATGGAGGTGGACTCGTACAAAGACACCTCATCTGATTCAGGTTGGAGGATACAAAAGATAGGAGAAGAAGGGGATGCAAGGGGGGTGGAAAAGAATTCAGAGATAAAGGCCATGAATGCAAAAACAGTGCAGGGAGAAAATATACACAAGCTGATGGCTTAACCAAGAGCAAGTTCACATTCAGGGGGAGATAAGATGGAAATGATGATAGGAGGAAGTAAGAAAATGGAATAGACCAAATGCAGAACAAGGTGGCAAAGAGAGGCACAAAGACAAGACGTCTGCCAAACACAATGAGGCAACCTTTAGCCATCCATAATACAAATAAAACTCAACAACTGTAGCCTGTCAAAAGGAAAGCAGCATGGGAAGATGAGGATGTGTAAATGACAGGAAATGAACCTGAGATGCAAAGGAGCAAAATGCTGAAGAAAAATAAGGAATTGAATTGTAAGGAGGGGAAATGGGGCTAATCCCCAAATGCCTCGCCATCCAAATGAGATTTATGGTGTGGAACTACCAAGGTGCAGGAGGCCCCTTGGTAGTTCTTAGCTCAAGAAGGTAATAAACCTCCACTCTTCTGAAGTTATTTTCTTATGTGAAACTATAAATCAAAGAGGCACATGGAAGTAGGAAGGAAAAGCTTAAAGTTTGATAACTGTTATGTAGTGAACTTCCTAGATAAGTTAGGTGGACTAGTAGTTTTTTGGAATAAGGATTTAGAGGTGATAAATGTGAGAGATGCTGGTTTCTTTATTGAAGTCAAATTGATGACAAGGAGAATTAATGTAAGTGGTACTTCATAGGAATTTATGCAAGTGTGGATGATAGAATCAGGAAAGAGCAGTGGTTAAAAATTTAGCAAGAAAAGAGAATTGGGGAGAGCAATGGATCATTGTTGGGGACTTTAATGACATTGAATCAAACGGGGAAAAATTTGGGGGAGGGAAGGAGAAACAGAATAGCTTTAAAGATTTTAGATACTTCATAAAAGGCAACAATCTCATAGGTTTATTTTTAGGGAAGCCTTGGACATGCTGCAATCAATGGAGGAGAATGGAGAGATTAATGAAAAACTGGACAAAATTTTGTGTAGTACTGAGTGGTGTCAACAGTTTCCAAATGCTAAATGTCAACATATTCAGAAAGAGGCCTCAGATCATTGTATCTTATTATATACTGACTCAAGGTTGAACACAATCTGGAAAAGATTCTGTTTTATAAAAAATGGACGCAGG